AAGAAGACATTCAAACTGTGCAAAACTCCTGGTGAGACGCGGAGTCTCAGGAAGCTCCATTTTCAGCTGAACCACCATTGTTTGCAAAGACACCATTGTCTGCTTCACATTTGAAACCGTGCACACGCATTATGTAATGTCTCAGCGGTGGAGGAGGTGAAAGATGAGAAGAATTAAGAACCAAGAACACACTTTCCTGACCTTCAGTCTTTTTTTTTGTTGTTGTTATTTCAGTTTTGCTCTTTTTCCACTATAGACTCTATGAACTGGATTTGGACTCCTGCATATTAGTTTTATTTATTTATTTAATCTGTTTTGCCTCAAGATCACAAGCCACTGGAGAAAACATCAGAAACAAAGTTGATAACAAATATAGATTTTTCTCTGACCCTGCTCCCGTTTTGTGAAGGACTAAAGTCAATTTGGGACAACAAGCTCTTCATCGCCTGCTTTTGCTTTTTTGTCTTTTCTTTTCTTTTTTTTTTATAAATGCCTTTTGTTTCACAGCAAACCAACTGTTCTTTGGCATCACATCGGTGTTTGTTGAGTTTTAAAAGCCCGCTGTATCCTGTTGGGCTGTGCGTGTGGCTGAAGGCCTGCTTCACCTGCTGCAGACTAAACGCAGCCCTTTCAGGTTGCAGCAAAAGCTAGTCAGTCATCAATAGAGGAGACGAGTGAAATGATGCCGCGTAGCACAGCGTTCTCAAAAGGTTCAGTCCTAATGGAGAGATGAAAATGTCAACAGCCCTTACGTCGCCCGTTCAAGCATGAAACAGCCAACTGCCTGTGCAGATGTTTTAAATTACACGTTTATACTTCAGTCTGAGCCAGACCTTTTTTATACGTGATTAAAAGTGGACTTGATGGGACATTTTCATCATTATTTTGTTATTCTCCCTGAGAGTTATTTCCAGCCCTTCAACCCGTCTATGAAATGTGGTGCCCTGTGTGTTCGCCAGAAAACAGGAGGACGGTGGACAAGTGAAGGACAAAACAAGAGGTGTCGCACTATCCATAGCAAAAACACACATATGTATATCTAAAAGGAGTGCCTTTTGAAAACACTGGACTTGAGGACCAAATTATTCTTCCATTTCTCATCTAATAAATGTAAGGTTTTCAGCAGCCCTCATTTTTAAAGACAGGGAATCTCTTGTCTTTAAAGAGACATTTCATGTGCAATGTTTCAGCAAGCAGACGTTTATGGCGATGTGACAATTCTTTACTATTACCTTTATACTTACACGGAAATCTTTGCATTTGATTGCGAAATAAACAGGTGATCATTAGATTAATGTTTACTGCAGCAAGCTGTTGACTTCTGAATATGTGCAGAAGGCTTCCATCTAGTGGTGAAACTCTGTAGATACAAAAAGAAAGGAAGGGGAAAAAATAAATAAATCTCTGAATCTACTGTCTATACAATTAGCTAGGATTCAGCGTTTCTGAATCCTGGCCCTCAGGATCCACTGTTTTGTACGATTTAGGTGCTTTACTTCCTGCGCATGCCTGACTTAGACAAAGCGGGATCATCAGGCCTCTGGTGCATTCGATGGCATCCTGAGGGTCACTGTGTCACCTGACCAGAACTCACTTACCAAGCAGCTGGCTTATCGCTTTCATAACAAACTGTCAAATAAAAACCGCATGCTGTCCTCATAGTATTTCCTCTACATTGGTTTGACAATCAGTCAAAGCCCTTCTTGACATCAGAGATGACTCCTCTACCAGTTTGTTGACGTTGCAATGAAGGCGAAATTGAAATAAAGTGCAATTACTCAGCTTGCCTCAAGGAAACACAGTAAAAGGGGAATGAATCACTTTTTATTGACGACGCGTGAACTTATTTTATTCATTTATTTTTTTTGTACCGTCTTTTAAATGCTTTAAATGTACTTGTCTGTTCAGTTGTCTATCTGAAGTGGTTCAGCACATGACATATACTGACACTCTCAATTAACCAGCAGTGAGCATTTTTTCACAAAATAGCATTTCTTTAAAGGTTATCAGTAAAATGACTAAGAACATGATAAAAATCTGAATATCGTGCACATTTACTGCCTGATACATATACATATATATATAGATTTATATATATATCAGGTCGCATTGCTTGTGGTTGCAATGTGTCAAAATGTGCGCACTGCAAATGAAATGAGTACTTTGGTGAGGCTCTGCAGAGCAACCACATGACAGACAGCAGTTAGACAGTCTCAGACCTTTAAAAACAAGGACCGGTTCTGTGCGTCATCAGAACAAGATAAAAACAAAACCGCCACTTTTGGCATCCTCAAAGGAATCTCAAAGTTTGGAGAAATCTCGTCATAGTGTGTGTGTTTGTACTGCAGCTGTCCGCGAGAAGAACATGAAGCAGCAGGCGCTCGGCTATATATGTGTAAAAAAACAACAACAAAAAATCACTCTGAAGACTGACTCATCGTCATATATCATGCAAACACATGCTGCATGTTACATCATTTCTCGTATTTCTGCTTGTTTTCTTTTCCATATGGCAGCCTGAGTGTTATAGGAGGCGGGGCAGGTTGAGAAAACGATGCATCGCTGACAGGCTCGCAAGCTGGAGAAGTGAGGTAAGGCCTCAGATGAGTCACGAGTCATCGTAAAAGAGCTGACCTGTTAAAGCACTTCTCTGCACACCAGCAGCAACACAGTCCAGGCCAGGCGCCAAATGCACACATTTTGATGAATCCGGCTCAACAAGATGGCCTGAAAGTTGAGATCTGACAACTGATTTTCGTTTCTCAGAAGTCTTTCTGGTTCACACTTATTTCTTGAATCGCAACATGTCCCAATTTTCTTTCTTTTTCTTTTTTTTTTTTAAATTAGTCAATTCCCATCATCTTCTAACTAAGCCCTTCCTCGTGTAATATAAAAATTCTGCTTTAATGAGACTGGTAACTGAACAGCACAGTGAAAAATGTGCACATCCCTTGAAGTGTTTCATATTGCGCTACACTACAAACAGTAACTTGTTTGGTTTGTAGTTGATGTGATAAACCAACACGCAGTGTAGAATGACACAACAGAGGGGAAACTATACATCTGCTTTTCAAAGGTTTTTCAAAGTAAAACTCTTCATAGTACAGTGAGCTTCTGCATTCAGATTGCTATTTTTTATTTTTTTGCAAAGTAGTTCAAGTTCCGTCGAACCGGATGAACAGTGTCTATAAATACCACTTTTTAAGTCCTGACTTCCAGATGGATTTACTAGCTTGGACTTGTAAACCACCCCGGCACATAAACCCACTTCGATCTAAACCCGTCCATCGCAGTTCTGGCCGTTTAGTGACATCATCCTGCTGGAGGTGGATCGCCGACCCAGACAAGTGCTTTCCGGGATTTCCCTGCATTCCTGTATCTTACTTGTCCGTGCTACAGAAAACCGTCCCCACATCACCATCCTGCCACCACTGTGTTTTGTTTTGAGGATTGTGTGCAGATTTTTTTTAACACAGTTCGTTGCGCTATTCGTTTGCAACAACAACAAAAAATTGTTTATTGTTTAAAGACATTGAATGTAGGAAGATGCATTATTGCAGTGGTTCCCAAAGTAGGAACCACTCCATTCTTGTAAGCTCGAATTACTAATAATAAGTCACACAATTGCTGGATACAACATTAAATTGGGTGGAATGCGGCATGAAGCTGGGACTCTGGTCAGTTATTGCATTTTGTTGCCAAATGAAAACGTCATCAGAGAAACAACAAAACAGTTTTTGTTTTCCACCACAAACTCTCGACTCTTCAGCCAAGCTCTGTTGAATAAGATAAGACCAAGACAAGCAGTTTAAAAGACTTTGGAAATAAAATATCATTCACAGAGCATTATATCAGCTCACTGTCACTCTGCACCGCTCAAGTGAGTAAATAAAACTGGCAAAGGAGTGAATGCAGATCGACCTCTGAGCCAAAGAGGGAGGAGAAAGAGACATGCCGTCACTGAGCGCTCTCAGCCATCGCTGTCTCTCACTGGTGATTCAAGCTTTCCCAGTGATTCACGTCTGCGCAGAAACTAAACAACAGGCCCAGAGTGTTGTCACTCTTCTTTTTCTCACCACCGACATCCTCCTCCTCTCCATTCATCTCTGTGTTCGTCTCCCCACTGCTTCCTGCTTGCTAATTGTGGCTGTGCCCATACCCGGTTATTTTTCCACCGAGCACGCACCGGCTCTCTCTGTCTCAAGGTCCTTGTTGTTAGACCTCCAGGATGTTCAAAAAAAGAAAAAAAGAAGAAGAAAAAAACTCCTAACACACCCAAATCCACCTGCGGGCCGGTGCAGCCCAGCAGGGGATTTCACTGCGCTGATGACGGGGCGCACTCTTCCTTCCTGAACCCACATAAATCTGTCGATGGCTTCTGTCTTGGAGTCTAACATTAAAGCTGTTTTCCATCATGCCGAACTGCAAGGAAGGGAAAGCTATTGTGAATTGGCATGGCCTGGTGTAGCTGCAAGCACTGGCCACGGCTGGGACTCACTCCTTGTTTTTACACAACCTCCATCATGACAAGGCCGATTACTGCCATTGAAGAGGCTTATTGGTAATAACCTACCCACTCGCGACGCATTCGTTCTTCTTGAAAAGCACTGTTCACACTCTTCTACTGCGCGCTGATTTATAGTTTGAACCTCTGCCACAGTTGTACTCTTGCCTCTGTTGAACTGCGTGTAAATTCCACCTTGACTTCTCTTCTCAGAGAAATGACAAGAATGGACTTGCAAGGACATTTCCACTGAGCAAAGGACCTCTGTCATCTCACAGAGTACGAGAAACTACCATCCTGAGGCTATAATCAAACACACACGCACACACACACCTCCAAGCATTCTTGCACACTTTGCAGGATTTGTGTTGGTTCAATCGTGAAACTGCAAAAAAATAAATGGAGGCAATAGTCATTTAGATTAGACATTTAATTTCAGAGTTCAAAGAAGGATGCATGAGTTATTTTGCAAAAGCAAAATACATTTTAATGTTTCTTCAACACGAAATAACAAAATAAATACATTGACAGGTGCTGCAGTTTTGAAGATGAGGTTTCTACAAAATAAAACGCTCACAAAGCAGTTCTCTTCACAGTTCTCTTCATTTTTCAAGGTCTTACATCAAGAAATGTAACAAACTTTAACAACTGCAAGGAATGACATTGATCTGACACTGTGTCATCCTTTTCGACAAGCATGCTTTCCAGTGGTTTAGATTAAACCTTTAGAAATGCTGGCTCATAATACGTTCCCCCCTGCAGTCCACAGAGTCCAGTTAGCTGGTTCTGAGTCCAGTAGTTTCATTTATGGAAGTCTGTTGCTGCTGTCCGGTTCTCTGGGCTCACAGTAGAACCTGAGCCTGTTACAGTATATCAGAGCACAGAGGGAAGCTGTGCTCCTGCATGTAGTTCACCTGCCATATGGAAGCCCCAGAGTAGGAGGTGGCTCCACTAAACTGTCCACGTATCCTTGAGGACACTGGGTCCACATTCCCGACTGATACCCCAACCCTTCACCCATTTGAGGGTATCGCAGCGGACTGGGCGGGTAATAGTCAGGGCTGTTGCAGTGTCCAGGAGAGGTGTAAAAATGCCCCTCGGTCGGATAACAAGGGTAGTGTGGTGAAGGTGGACATGATGTCACTGCGTTATCCATGTATGCATGTAGCTCCGCAGCCAGCCTGTGGAGGTGAGGCCCCTGTTGCGGCTGCAGCTGCTGAGAGATGGATGCGTGCCAGGGGACGTAGCTTTGATGCTCCAGGCGAGGAACTGCAACTCTGGTCTGCTCCAGTCGAGACCCTCCCACCACAGCTGGTCCTGCAGGTGACCTGTGGCATTCCCGGTGACTGCATGGCTTGTTGGGAGGATTTGAACTCAGGAATATCGAGAGGGCAGAGATGCGGTTGATGGCCCTCTGCAGGGTGGCGATCTTAGACAACCGTTTGCCACTCAGGTCATGATTCAGGGCAACTCGGAGAGCATTGAACGCTTGGTTGTAGTCCATAATGCGCTTTCTCTCTCGTACATTAGCAGCCATTCTCCGAGCCTTCGAACGGACCGGTCTGTTGCGCTTCTTGTTCTGGCCTTCCTCAGGGTCGCTAGGACTGCCTTGGAAAGGGGGTTTGACACCTCCATCGTCATCGCCTTGTCCCAGCGCGCTGATCTCGAGCTCTTCCTCAGAAAACTCTGAACCAGTGACACTGCTGCAGCTCATTGTGTCAGTAATGTGAACACCAGACAAGTCCGAGCAAAGTCTGAGAGCGGAATTCGTTGGCTAGAAGTTGTCTGCCTCATCAACGCGCTTCCTTGGTGTGTTCAGTGAGTGGGGCTGTCGGTGTTTGCTGCTGCCCGAGTATTCTCTCTGTCTTATTCCTCTGGTGCACCGTGGTTACCTTTACCTCAAGAAGACAGGTTGGTCTGCTTTTTAAAAGATCTTGGAGTCACATGGTACAATCATTTGAGAGGAAAGATATACTCTCTCTCCCCTTCCAAGTTTATGGGTGCCCTGCAGGCAAATGGCACTGTCACCTCCTCCTCCTGCGCTGACTCTCCCTCACATCTCTCATCGTATCATCCAGAAGAGCTGCAACTACTAGATATTTACACACGCTGCATGAAAAGAAATATAGCCTTCCTTAACTGTCTGACATTACATCAGACCAACCTTTTCCTGTTTTAGGTCAGTTAGAATTACCAAAACTATTTAAAATATTCTTATATTTAACAACTTATTGATGTGAATTATTAAACTAGCTTTTTATTACATTATATCATTACCTCTATTCATACTCTTTCCCTAAAGACTTTCAGTATAGCTGAGCAGTTTTTATGGTTCCCAAATATTGGGATTTGTTTTTCCAACTCTTTCAGTTTGAAATGAAACAATCACAGTAAATCATATTCTTTGTTTCCTGCACTAAATATTGTTTACCATACATATGCTAAACGGGAGGTCCTCAACTCCAAGTCTTGGGGGTTGGTGTTCTGAAACATTCAGATGTGTCTCTGCTCCAACAAGTCAAATAATGAGGCCATTAGCAGAACTCTGGAGGACTTGACATCATGCTGAGGAAGTAATTCAACCATTTGATTTTGCTGTGTTGGACCAGGGACACATCTAAAAGTTCTAGAACACTGGCTCTTGAAGCCTGGATTTGAAGACCCCTGTCCAACTCAAGAGTTGGGGTTTAGATGCGTTCCTGCTTCAACGCACCTTATTCAAATGCTTCAGCTACCTCTTCTACATGCCAAAGATCTGCAGAGGGTCGCCAATGAGGCATCATTTGATTCCATGGAAAGCACTGAAAGTTAACGGATACCAGCCTTGAGGACTGGCTTCGGACATCACTGTCCTATACGATTGAACATTTATCAAAGTGACCTAATCTGGTGTATGTTTCCTTTCCAATCGAGTCTAGGTGAAGCAGAACCTTCTTTTCTCCAGCAGGTAGGCTTCATCCTGCCAATTAGCTGTCTCTACAGTGGCGATTCTCGCTCTCCCTGTCTCTCTGTTTGCTCAGCTTTAAGGGCCGTGTAATTTAAAGTGGCTGCCCTGAAACCCATTCCCATAAATCAGGTCTGGGCAGCACCTGAGGACCAAAGACCAAAGTGAGGCCTCCACTTCAAAGAGAGAGAAAACCAAGGGTAAATATTTCACAATTAGAACCTGTGATTGCTACTGGCCTCAACAATCGATCTTTCATCGTCTTTTGCTTGTGAGGAAAGGGTGCCACTTTGGTGGAAGTGGAGCATTCGCACAGTTTCATATATTGTAGTTTGTGTAGATAATTGCTTGTGACTTTTCAGAAGGAATGTTGGGTTAAGGCAGACAACAATCACAATAATGCACCATGTGATCTGCTTCTGACAATACATGAAGACTGGCTTATTTTGATTGTTACTGTGTCTTTAAATGAATCCTTTGACCTTTACCACAGTGTATGGTCAACGATGGGTAGATTAAAAGGAGCCTCTCAGGCACTGAACTGGGGGTCATTGAGAAACATTGCTTCCTTCCTGCTCTCTCTTTTTATTATGTGTCCAACTCTTTGAGACACCAGCCCAGTTTCAGTCCAGACCTTCACCTCTGGAAGTCCAACTTTTGAATACCAAATATTTCTCCAGTCTTTTCACTAGTATGGATAATCCAGCCAGTCATTGCTGAAGTCCTGTGTGGTCTGACCCAGCTGGTTGTATTTATCTAAACCACTAAGTGTAGCTGATTTTACACCTCTACAAGCATACAGGGCACCTTCTGAATGTCATTCTGACCTACAGGTTTTTAAACTGCTGAACACCCTCAGAGAACCCAACATGCAAACTCTATTTAGATAATCCTCGAACCCAAGACCTTCTTGGTGCATGGTGCTTCATCTTCCCCAGTGAGTTATTGCTATTGATCCATTCTTATATTTATCATTACATAATTATGTAACACCTGCATTGTGTGTAAGATAAAGTCAAACATCCATTTCTATACAATACAACCGTGAAGATAGTTGACACTTCACCAGATATTATCCTAAAATTGTGCAAGAAGTCAACTGAACAACATTCAGTCTAAGCATTTCAATATTTTTTTTGTTTATGATGTTCCATGCCTGGAAGGTTGTAAAACCCCTCTGCACCACACCTTTCTCTTTCTGATATCCCAAATATCTTCATAGCCAAAACAGTTTAAAATGTTCTGCACATGTCACTCAGCCGCAAGTGGAGCAAAGGCTTTATCGCCTGGAGTGATTTATGGCTTTACAAACATGTCAGATTTACTGCTCTGCTAGAACAGAGCATGGGGAGAATATTGCCTCGGACTCTCCCTGTCCATTCATTTCTGACAGGTGACAAGACACCAGTAATTATCAGCCGCCGGGAATAAATCAGGCAGATTTTATCACGCTGCTCGCTGTGCCCTTGATGGAATAACCATTTTCAAGCAAGGGGGAACCAGTCCAATGCCACCGAACCTAGGATTTGTAAATCTCCTGCTCAAGCCCCCATAATGACTGGTTGTTAGCCGTTTGTTATTAGAGGTCTGTGTGCCAAAAGTTATAGATGTGTATTTCCAAAGGGGTACTTACAGGTAATAAGTGAGTAAGTCCGGGTTTTCTAACCTAACCTTTGCAGAGGTATGTTAATGCATGTTATTGCTGTCTGCTATGGAATTTCTCACCTCAATAAAATCTGACCTGATAAATACAAATAGTTTCAAAAAGTTGCATTAATTGAACAATCCATAGTTGTGAGCTTTCCTAAAGCACACTTTGATTTTTGTTACCAAACGCTTTCTCTTTTTCAAAGAAAGCTTCTTATTCACATAAATAGCTAGTGTCTCGTCTTCATCATCTTATTGCGCCATTGTACTTGAGTTTCAGTCTGAATTCCTTGAAAGTCACTTTCTAGATGCCAACCATATCTATACCTTATGTGTTTTCCGTCTTTCAGAATAATACGACACACATGAAGTTATTATGCACATACGATTACATGAAGCAGCCTAGATTTGAGGTGAAATAGGAAAAAGGCACACATTTAAAGGTCAGAGGTCAAATGGTGAAGCCGAATAGTCAGGCTGAACAGTTCAAAAAAGTTCAAAGTCAGTCTCAGCCCCCTAAAAAAAGCATTAATGTGCCTTTACTTTGAAATGTCAATTTTGGGGAGTGTTCTGATGTATCATAACCTGCAAGCCAGTCAGATATCCCAAACCAGGAAAAGTCCACACAGTGAATATTGACTGGCTTAGACAGAAAACCTCTCTCCAAGGTTTTCTATCCTTAGATGGAGAAGCTTTTAAACTAATTACAATAATAAACTGAGCTAAATCCACCGTTTCATAACCAGGATCGATTGGACTTCATGGGTAATTAAATTGGGATTACGTTTTTCAGTGAAATGGTGCAATATAAATAAACTGAATTGAATTGAAGAAAAAGTCTTATTCTTATAGTGAAAAGTTCTTATAACCTGTCGACCGGAACCTTGACAGTTGTAGTTTTTACCTGGATTCCTAGAGACTTTTCTCCTTGCAGGAAGAAAAGTCCTGCAAGGTCCGTTTTGTTTGTGTACAAACAAAACAGACACAAACGTCACTACTTCTACTTCTCTTGCTGAGAATGTGTACATATATTTAATCGGTTGAATCAGTGACTTCTTTTTTGTGTTTCCATTGTGTTCTTATCAATACTTGAATGTATTCATCTGCCAACAAAGACCTGGAGTAAAACTGCCATGACTTTACAGTATAAATGTGTGAATTAATGAACGATTCAATGTATGAAAACTGCAATAATCCTCAAGTGGGTAGTTAAATACACTGTGGCGACTAATTATCTCCCTCCCATTTAGGATAATCGATAAATTATTAATGCAAAAATCTGCAAAGGGCACTGAAAGAAACTGAAACAGGCACATTTAGTTTAATCCCATGTCTCCACCAATTTGCTATTGTTAATATTTTTTATAGCCGGCGAGAACTGATCAGTCCCAAGGAGAACGCACTGAGCGGCACACTGAAAGTACCCAGGTAAAATCCAGTCAGGATTTGAACCGCAGACCTTCTTGCTGCATCACTTTTCCCACACTCCATTGAATACTCAGGACATACGGCGAAGTCGCACTTGAAAAGAAAACACACGTCTGTGTCTGGTTTGCAGAGTTTTTCAAGGACACAACAAACAAACTGTGACGACACCGCGTGAACTGACACAACGGTTATGAATCACTCTGTCTGAGATTTACCGGCAGTTGGGTGCAGTTGGCTGCTGAACTCCCTTTTGACGGCGCATGGCAGCTATAAAATCCCTGCTGTCGGGTTGAAACAATGGCCTGCATATTTAAGCAGTCTTATTCACAACATAGACTGTCATGCATCCATCAGCTATTAATCATAGAGGTGTGTTAAAGATTATTCTGGAACATTACAGAGGTTTCCAGTTGATTTGTCCGTGAGCTCAAAAGTGTTTTGATTCTAGTTGTTAAAAAAAAGAGAGAAAACTTTAATATAGAAGTTTGCGGCTTTGAAGAAAAGTTGCTCTTAAGATTTGTTGAGATTTGGACTTTTAGATTCAGTTATTTTCTTTTTTTTATTGTTTTCCTAATAGTTGCTAATTTTATCCTGTCATTTTGGTTTATTCCTTGTGTTAGTTCAATTATTCTCGTTTTTTTTTTTTTTGTCTTTTGATTTGTTTCGTTGGATTAATATTTATTTCCACCTATTGTTCAAGTTTTTTTCTCCTTTCATTCTCTTTGTTAGTTTTCACCTCACCCACCATTCTGCTCCCCATCCCAGCTGTTAATTATTTTCTCGTTTGCCTGTACCTGCGCTCCCTTGGCCAGCTGCATCCACTCTCCTGTAATTAGCTTTTCCAGTCCCTTTTGTCATTTCC